AAGTTAAAAGACTGAAAAAAAGACAGAGGGTGATTGCAAAGAAGGGAGCAATTTAAATGAGAAATTAGTATCAAAATGAGAAATTAATATCAAAGCAACTTTAAAAATCCAATGCATTTGGAAATTAAATGTCCACTTTTAAATGATGGGTATATCTAAGAAGCCATAAAAGGAATTTTAGAAAATATATATGACAGAATAAAAATGGAAACATAATTTTTCAGAAATTGTTACATGAAACTAAAGCTGTTCAATGCAGTTAAATAAATGTGGAATCTTGAATAATCTACGAAAACAAATAATGGGCACAAGCATAAAATTTTGTGAAATTTGAACAAAATCTGTACTTTAGTTAATACTGCATCACATGTTAATTTCTTGTTTTTTACGCCTTTGTCTAGTGTAGTAAAAACTGTATTTGCATATATATAAATAATATGTATTGTATATATATATATAAGTATATATATATACATACTAGAAACTGTGAATTTTTGGCTAGCTGAAAAAGTATGACATTTTGATTCCACTTGTTTGAATAAGTATGAATAGAATGCTAGATTTCTAACTTATATTAACTCATAACTTTGACATAGTTGCATTTATTCTGGCATATAATATCCCTGCTAAAAGTCTAAAAAGCATATTAGTGATTTTTGAGGTCATTTTAGTGATAGTTATTTTCTACGTGTTTAGTTTTTTTTTTTCTTTATAGAAATGTTTTTAAAATGTTTTAATTTTTAGGTCATCTTTCATGTTTGGATAGTTTCTAGTAGTATAGTGATAATTTTGAAAAAAAAAATATGCACCTTCTTTAGTGATAAATTTTTGCATCTGTCAGGAAGTTGTCTAGATCTTTAAATGAACCAAAAATCAATAACTGAAAAAAATATTAGTTACAAATTTACTGTTTATGTCATTCTCTCAAGATCTCCTGCTTCTTATTTCTTAAATCTTCTTTGACTCAGATACCATCCTTTGTTCTTCCTTATCTCATTTTTTTTATTTGTATGAAATTGTATTAGCTATTTGATTAAAACAGGAAACATTTATATATCTTGAAAACTCATATCTTCTTTTTGTGACAGCTTTGAGGTTATAATGTGTTTTTGCAATAATAAGTGTAATTTTTTAAAAATGTGGTATTATTTACACATAGGCTAGGTCAACGATTGTTTTTCAAACTACGCTCTTGTAGATCACATGCTTTATGATTTGATATTTTCATATTGAAAATGTATTCAATCATTTATTTCAAAATGTTCTATCAGATTATGTAACCTACTAAACTGGAATGTTTTATTCAACCTGGCAGAACAGATATCTCTTCATTAGTGACAAAGAAATTGCAGTGAAAATTACAGAACTTGTATTCTTTTACTGCTTCCCTTGACATAAATATTTTTAATGAAACACTTTCTTTAATTTCAACTCATGTTAAAGCAGTTCATAAAATAAAAATGTGTTTGTTATAGGTACCCATTTTCTGAATATTATTGCCCTTGGATTCTGCTAAAGAGGCTGCTTATTTTATTAACTTCTGCTTTCTCTATGTTGTTTTTTACTTTTATATTTTTGTTTTAGAGTGTGTTAAAGTATAGCTATGATCCTGGATGAAGGTGCTTTCAGATCCCCAAAGAAGAGTCTTTGTTCAAAAGTAGGGAAGAAATTAATGGCTTTCACAACTATTTCTGTGATTTAGAAATATAATTGAGTGTCCCAAATGTGTTTGCCATTGTATACTTTATAAATGATATTTCATATCATTATCATGACAGATAAGGATGCTGAGGCTTAGAGAGATTGTTATTTTCTCAAAGCCATAAAGCTGGCAAAGGGAAGAGTTAGGATTTGAAAGATCTGAAGTTTAAACTATTAATGTCAACTCTAAACTACCTCCCCCAGTGTATTAATTGATGTTAAAAAAAATGGAATTGTTCATCTTTGGTGAGGGGTAAGGTAGAAAGTTGAGACTATCACTGCCGGTCTTTGGTACAGGTGTAGCAGCAAAGCACTTAAGTGTCTGTTATAACAAAATTGTCTATCTTCAAAAGAAGCAAGCTAAAACACTTGTTATTTAAACAAGATGCAATATATTGTTTTTAGTAAGAACAGCCTGGTTAAATTAGAATATTATAGTCATCTGTGACAAATACAGTGCCCTTGATGGAATCTTTAATTTAGTTTACTAATTTAGTTCATTAGGTTCTGGGGGCCAGACTTCTGTGAGCCAGATCTTGTACTAAGGTCTCTTTTTTAATGTTTTACCATCATTAATTTCTAACAGCTACACTGCAGATGGTGACTGCAGCCATGAAATTAAAAGAAGCTTGCTCCTTGGAATAAAAGTTATGACCAACCTAGACAACATATTAAAAAGCAGGGACATTATTTTGCCAACAGATCTCCATCTAGTCAAAGCTATGGTTTTTCCAGTAGTCATGTATGGATGTGAAAATTGAACTATAAAGAAAGCTGAGCACCAAAAAATTGATGCCTTTGAACTGTGGGGTTGGAGAAGACTCTTGAGAGTCCCTTGGACTGCAAGGAGATCCAACCGGTCCATCCCAAAGGAAATCAGTCCTGAATATTCATTGGAAGGAGTGATGCTGAAGCTGAAACTCCAATACTTTGGCCACCTGATGCAAAGAACTGACTCATTTGAGAATACCCTGATGCTGGGAAAGATTGAAGGCAGGAGGAGAAGGGGTCAAAAGTTGGATGGCATCACCAACTCAATGGACATGAGTTTGAGTAAACTCTAGGAGTTGGTAATGGACAGGGAGGCCTGGCGTGCTGCAGTTCATAGGGTCACAAAGAGTCAAACATGACTGAGTGACTGAATTGAACTGAATTGAAACTTCCTAGTATAGATCCCATCTCCTTGAGAACCATGATTACTCCAAGAGGCGGTATCAAATTCCTACTTCTGCCTCTTTCTTCTTAACATTTATTCTTCAACCAGCAGATGATATGGTCACTTTAAAACATTAAATGTCATAATGCCATTCCTTTGGTCCATAGTCCTATAACTATTCCTCCATTCTCCCAAAGTAAAAGTTACAACTCTTACTATGGTGTACTGATTTATAAATGATCTGCCCTCAGTCTCTTTTCTTCCTTAACTTCATTTCATACCCCTGTCCTCTTAATTTGTGTACTCTAATCACATTGCATTCTTTTTTGATCACATTACATTCTTTTTTGTCCCTGGAATACAATAAATGTGTCATGTATAAGAGTTGAGTACATGACTACCATTTTCTTCTCCAGAATTACAAGCAATTTAGATAGCTATGACAGGGAATGTTAACCAAGAATGCATGCGAGTTAGGTTGCTTCAGTTGTGTCTGACTCTTTGTGACCCTATCTTCTGTAGCCTGCCAGGATCCTCTGCCCATGGGGTTCTCCAGGCAAGAATATTGGAGTGGGTTGCATGCCCTCCTCCAAGGGATCCTCCCAACCCAGGGATCTAACCCATGTCTCTTAGGTCTCCTTCATTGGCGGGTGAGTTCTTTACCACTAGCACCATCTGGGAAGCCCTACTCAAGGATAGCTTTGTCCACTTATAGGGATACAGTATCTCTGGACTTGGGTATTTTGGACAAATCTGTATTAAAATGTGTATTAAAGATAAACATTTCACTTTATATGAAATATATATATATATATATACCCATATATACATACATATATACCATAACTCAAGTAGTTTAGGTCAAGGGTTGGCAACTGTGTCCATCCTGCAGACTAAACCTAGTCTACTGGCTTTATATATTTATGTGTGTAAACATATATATATATATATGTGTGTGTGTGTGTGTGTGTGTGTATGTATATACATGTATATATGTATGTATACATATATATGTATATGTGTGTGTGTGTGTGTGTGTGTGTGTGTGTGTATACACAGCCAGTAGACAACATTTAGCCTGCAGGATGGACATAGTTGCCAACCCTTGACCTAAACTACTTGAATTGTGGTTCGACTGGCATACCTTTCTCTGATTAATCTTCCTTTTAAACTGCCCTCCACACTGTTCCAGAGATCTCTTGTAGCAACACAAACGTGATCATGAAATTCACCTGCATGACATGCTAAGGAAGTTGACCAGGATGTTCAGGCACTGCCTGGGTGAGAGGGTACAGGTAATGTTCTCCAGGCACAGAGGGCAGGGAGAATCGTGCAGACAGAAAACAGCATGGCATGTGCAAAAACTGTTAGCTTTTACAGGTGTTGATGACATGTTGCATTGTGTTAGAGATGAGGTGGAGAAGCTGCCAGGGACTATTGCTAAAAGGAATTTAAACCATGTTAAGAAAATAGAATTTGTTATTTTTTCCCACTGATAAGTTGCTGTTTAAGGATTTTAGGGGGAAAATGCATGGTCAGTTTATTTCAGAAAAAAACATATACACACATCCATGGATGGACATTGGAGAAGGAAATGGCAACCCACTCCGGTATTCTTGCCTGGAGAATCCCACGGACAAAGGAGCCTGGTGAACTACAGTCCATGGGGTCGCAAAGAGTCAGACATGACTGAGCGACTAACACACACACATATGGATGGGCACATACATGTCCAAGTAAATACCTATGTAAATATCTGCTAAAGAAGTACTGTCATGTGGTATGAACACACGCATTGGAATTCAAGTTTAGAAGTCTACTCTGCTTCACATTTACCACCTACTTAGGATGGGAAATTTAGTCAGTTTAGCTTTGGCTTCTACAACTAATAAGAAGATAATTAAACTTGATGAGAGCTTTCTACAGTTCCTACCGATATCAGCATGTTATTGATTTGCAGTAGATTCATATTTATGATTTTTATTATATATTTGTACAAGTCATATTTTCATATTTTGGTTCCCCAAAAGAAAATTTTTTGTCACTGTGGGACATTTTTCACCTACTTGATACTGCCAGTAGAACTGGAACCTAATGTTATATGCTTCTAATACTGTTTTTTTAATCCTTTGCTCTATTTTAGCCTTGGATCAACTGTGCAGTTCTCTTGTGATGAAGATTATGTCCTACAGGGTGCTAAGAGCATCACCTGCCAAAGGATAGCTGAAGTTTTTGCTGCTTGGAGTGATCACAGGCCTGTCTGTAAAGGTAAGGAAGAGTCTTTAAAATAAAAATGCTTTCTTAACACATTTTAATAGTGTGAATTCATTCCATTGAGTATAAATTTCAATTGAAACTTTGAATTGGAATGCAGGAAACATTTAGCTCATGTATTTGACATATTATTGAAAAAATGAAGTAGGCAAACCACTGTGTCAGATTCCCAAGCAGTTTGCAGTCTAATAATCATATGGTAACAGATTGGAACATTAAAATATGTAATACAGGCAATGATAACTCTTTTTGCCTTTTTAAAAAGGCAAACTCACCCTGTATAGGAATTAATGTAGATATGGAATTTTAAACAATAATTGCACCTTCATTTGTATGCTTTGCCATTTTAATTGTTTAAATGTACAGTAGTCATGATGTCAGTGGCAGTGGAGGTGGAACACTTGTTCTATAATTAGTTAATTTAAACTAAGACAAATCAATGAGTTCTCTGTCTTTTCATATTACCAGTAACTGCAGATAAGATTTACTTACACTGACTTTCTAAGAATTATTTTCATGTAAATCAAATGAAGCCCTTTTATTCTAAATTTTATTTAGCGATATTTGAAAAGAAACACCTGATTCTGTCTTACTGGTGCTCTTGTTGCTTGTTTGTTGCTTTTGTAATTTTTAATAATGGCATCTCTGCATATTTCAGTGTCTTAGTACTCAAAGTTACATTAGCGCTTCCTCTCCCTGAGGGAACATTTTCATTCAGTTGCCCCACCCTCTAGAGTCCTCTCAGACAGATTCTGGTGAATAGAGAAAAGATAGATTTGAGAGCTATTGTAAGAGGACAAAGACAAAGTATTTGACAACTAGCTGGATATGGAAGGAGAAAGCGTAAGAAGGAGTTAAAGATGATGAGACTATGAGACTAAAGTCTATGAGACTAAAAAATGATGTTATGCTGTTAGTAAGTATACAAAAAACTGAAAAGTGAAATTATATAGGCAATTTCATCATAGACTTTATTTTTTAGGCACTTAGTATGCATCAGGCAATGTGCTAACACCACTGCATATACTCTGATTCATTTAAATCCTCTAAAGAAACCAATGGAGTAAGCATTATCATCTCCATTTTAGAAATCAGTGTTGTGAGACACAGAGATATCCAGTCACTCTCCCAAGCTCAAATGTTTGGAAAATGACAAAGTCTTTAAGAATGATGTCATAGTTTGTGGAGAGAAGTCCAATATCAGATCACTAAAGAGGGAATAGAAAATAATAAAATGGAAGCAAATAGTTATATTCTACTCCCTTGGCAATAATAACCCAAAGTATGAAGAAAAGAGAGCCTAGATTTTTCTTGGGTTCAAGTATTTTTATTTACTTGTTTATTCCTTACCTTTCTCATTATCAAAGGCTTACAAAATTCCATATGGTGAAATAACATTAAAAATATTATTTCAGAGAGCATGAAATATATTTATTAATATTGAATAATAATGGGAAACTGAGATAATGAAAAAATAAGATAAAATATGATCCTAAGGGAAGTTACATGATCCTAAAAAAAGCTTATTTGTACAAGTTGGTAAAAACATTAAAAAATTATGGAAATATATTTGATTTACAATGCTGTGTTAAAGTTGTACAGTAAAGTGATTCAGATATACATATAGATATTTATGATTTTTTACATTGTCTGTCATTATACAATGTTACAAGATAATTGATTATAATCCCTGTTCTATACAGTAGGTCATTGTTGGTTATCTATTTTATATACAGTAGTATATATATTTTAATCAAAACTCCTAATTTATCTTTCTCCCAAGACCCATTTTGGTAACTATATTTGTTTGCTTTCTGTCTGTGAGTCTGTTGCTGTTTTTTAAATAAGTTAATCTATATCCATTTTTTAGATTCCATATTTAAATGTAGAATACAGTGTTTGTCTTTGTCTGATTTACTTAGTATTATGATTTCTAGGTTCATCTGTGTTGTGCAAATGACATTATTTCATTCTTTTTTTTGGCTGAGCAATATTCCATTGTATGTATGTACCACATGTCTTTATCCTTTCATCTGTCAGTAGACACTTAGGTTGCTTCCATGTCTTGACTATTGTAAATAGTCCTGTTATGAACTTTGGGATGCATGTTCAAATTATGTTTTTCTCCAGATAGATGCCCAGAACTAGGATTTTAGGATCATATGGCAACTCTATTTTTATACCTTTGAAAGAAGTGCCCTACTGTTCTCCATAGTGGCTGTAGCAATTTACATTCTCACCAACAATGTAGTGGGGTTTATTTTCTCCCCACTCTCTCTCCAGCATTTATTATTATTGAAGTTTTGACTTGAATTTCTCTAATAATTAGTGATGTTGGGCATTTTTCATGTGCCTGCTGGACATCTGTATGTCTTCTTTGATGAAATGTCTTTTTAGATCTTCTGCCCATGTTTTGGTTGGGTTGTTTGTCTTTTTGATACTGAGCTATATGAAATATGATATTACTCTGTTGTTGGTTCCATTGTTTGCAGATATTTTCTCCCATGTGTAGGTTGTTTTTTTGTTTTGTTTATGTTCTCCTTTGTTGTGCAGAAGCTTTTAAGTTTTAAGAAAAAAAAAAATTAATGGTTTACATGTTAAATGTAACAGCTGCTAAAGAAATATAAAAAAATGTACAGTTTACATGAAAACCATTGTCTATGAAATATGAAAATGACACCCACAAAATCAAACTTATTCCTGGCTTTGAGATATGAAATATCTTGCTTTGTTTTTTATAAAGTGGACACTGAGTAAATAAAAATTGTGGTAATTACTCTCACCAATGTCCCGACAGTGAAAGAACAGTACGCTGTTTAAAGTTGATTTCTTATGATATTCTCCACTCAAGATATAGTTATAAGAGACAAAAGTGAAAATTAAGGTTTCAAGATAGTGTGTCCACATATCTAGTTTTACATAAATTAAATGTGTGCATTTATTTTATGGAAAAAAAGAATGGGAAAGTAGAGGACAGATTAAAGAAAAAGAGATTAATGCAGGAACGAAGTCTCATATAGAACAAAAAATTATAGCCAGATCATTAATTTAAGGTTTACCTAGAGTGAGATTGATATTATAAACCATCTTTTTCATTCAAGACTCTCATTTCAATAAAAATAATGATTCATATTTACTATGATGGTAAATTTCTCAAAGGCAAAACTAGTATTATATTATTTTGTTATTTTTTATAAACCCAGTAGTAGAAAGAACAGTTCTGTACTGACTTAAATCTCAAGAAATGCTTGTTGAATATTAATGTATATATATTTTCTTTGGTTCTAAGATACATGATTGATATATTTATATTATGTAAATATACATGCACAAACATCTGTGTGTGTGTGTGTGTGTGTGTGTGTGTGTGTATATATATATATATATATATATATAGAGAGAGAGAGAGAGAGAGAGATACATATATATTTTCATTCAATAGTCATCAGTCATTAGTTGGAAGGTATAAAATTTGTATGTTCAAAATTCATATATTATTATTATTTCATCTTAATATTACATTTCCTACATATATTAATCATTTATAAACAACTTTTATTTACTCATTGCATGCAGGGCACATGTGTGTATGGTTTATAGAAACAAAAAATTTGCTGGTAGAAATTACTGGCTGTAGTGTTGAAACAGTAATGGAGGAAACATGCTGAAATAGTAATTGAAGTTTTAAAATGACTATTCACTGTGAGTCTGGATGAAGAAGAGTTTTCAAGTCTCCTGGGTGCTTGGACAGAATAAATATGCTTTTCTCCAGATAGCAGCATAAATAGCAATATCAGTGAGCCTCACCTTTGAGAAGTCATTAGGATAGCTGCTGTCTATGTATTGCATGGTTGAGCAATCAAGAAATTGTGATTTTTAAAGGGCCTGAAATTCACACAAACAGCAGATTATGAATCAAAAGAAAAAGGACAATTCAGAAATTAATATTAATAGATTTTACATAACCTCAGACAATAATTTTTATTCCCTAAATGGAATATGTATATGAGATATTTGACAATTTACTGTTATGGAAATAATTTTCCTTTGTTGGAAATGCGATAGATACCCAAAAGCTAGAGCTTATGCAAATAAGATTTATGTGGTGAATGGAACATATATAGAAAATTTATTTTAGACTTTCATGTTGTTCAAAGAAACAGCATTTGAGAATTGGCAATTTGTTATGTAGGAAACATTTAAGAGAGTTAATCTTGATAGATCGGGCAAAACTTTTTTGACTAATTTTCAGTCAATATTTATTTGGCTTGCCCCAAATAACAATTGTTTTTTTTTCTTTTAAGGCATGATGGTGTGGGTATTCTTGAGAGTAATGGAAGAGTTGATTAAGACAAGATTAGAAAAGAAAGCCAAAGGTGGAGGAGGGGGAAAGATTTTGAAAAGTGGAGTAAAAACCAAGGAGTCACCTTTTAATTTCTTTATTCAATCAATCATCCAGTTATTTGTTTATTTACTTATTAACATGCTGATTAATTTATTTTGGATTCACAAGCATTAATGAGTGTAGGTATGTAGGTATATAGAATGAAGGTATGTCATATTAAACAGTACATGAGATACAAGGTATGTACATTTTTTTTATTATTTTGTATTGATTTGCAAGGTATAAACACAAAACTAATACATAGTAGACTGTTTTGTGTACAAGAGAGGTAAAGTCCTCTGCAAAATTCAGCTGAGTGGAAGATTATTTCCATGTTTGGAGATAGTCAGGCATTGAAAACAAGGAAATACCATAAGGGCAGAACCTGGTGATTATTTTCTATTTCATCATATAGTCTCACCCCCTAACCTCTAGGAAGAAGAGAGGGGCTGAAGATTAAATCAGTCATGTATAGCCAGTGATTTAATTAATCATGTATATGTAATGAAGTCTCCATAAAACCACAAAAGGACAGGGTTCACAGAGCTTCTAAGTTGGTGACCACTTGGAGATTTGAGGAAAATAATACACCTGGAGATGATATGAATGT